CTCTCGTTTCTCTTGTTTCTCTCGTTTCTTTCTCTGTTCTCTCCGTTCTCTCTTGTTTCTCTCGTTTCTCTCTGTTCTCTCCATTCTCTCTTGTTTCTCTTGTTTCTCTCTCCGTTCTCTCTTGTTTCTCTTGTTTCTCTCTCTGTTCTCTCCATTCTCTCTCGTTTCTCTTGTTTCTCTCGTTTCTCTCTCCGTTCTCTCTTGTTTCTCTTGTTTCTCTCTTGTTTCTCTTGTTTCTCTCTGTTCTCTCCGTTCTCTCTCCTTTCTCTCCGTTCTCTCCGTTCTCTCCGTCCCTCCTCGTCTTCAGGAGGAACCAGCAGTAGTTTGTGACCCGGTCGGATCAGAAGGTCGAGGATCCGTCTGCTGCCAACATCACTGCGGCTCCTTGGCTGCTCTGACACTGTCGTCACACGAGCGCCATCATGAGGCTGTTTCCCTCATTACACACCAGAGATATAAACAGATTGATGTCATCTTCACCTTTAACTCACTGACTCCGCCTCCCACCGACAACCAACAAATAAAGATAAATAAAATAAAGCAGCTCTCGAAACTACGTCCATGAAATACTCTGACTCCGCCTCCTGTCAACTCGTCTGTGGTCACGTGACTCAACCTCAGATTCACGCTTCAAAGATAAATGAAGCTGAAACTTTGATTCAACAGAGAAATTTAACGTGAAGGTTGTTTCTGTGTTGAACGACTCTGTGTCACTGAGGCCGGATTCCTCTGGTTCGGTGGGTGTGTCCGACGTGTCGTCCAATCAGCGGTGGCGTGAATATGAACCCGTCATATTAGAAGGTCAGTGACACAGACGAGTGTAAAGTTCTCTACAGATGCAGCAGCTGAGTAATTATCGTGAAATACAATAAAACCAGTTCTTTCCCCTGAACCTATTTTCTGTTTCTTTAAGTTCACAGACGACCTCACATGATTAGCTCTGTTGTTCCACACGTCACAGACGTGACTTCAACAAATATCTGAGATTCCAACGTCCAGAACGAGATTCTCAGCTGCTTGTTCACCGCTCACTCACGTTCTGGGTGAGATGGACACAGCACAATATATATATATCAGTGCTGTGGCTCAGGGGTGGGAGCGGGTCGTCCTCTAACCAGATCAGCAGTTGGATGTTAGATGCTCTGTATGAATGTGAGTGAATTAACACACACAGTGTTTATCAGATATTACAGTATCCTCAAACTGTATATGTGTATTTTCACCAACGCTTGATCCATAAAACTCACGAATAATAAAGATGAAGTTCAGTGAAATCCTTGTTTCACTCTGAAGCTCAAACTTTTTCTTCTGAAGCATCAGCTGATGGTTTCAGTGGATTCATGATGTAATGAGGGACCATGCAGCTGGTGTTCACATTAATAGGAGCAGAGTGCTGCAGCCCTCCTCCCTCAGGCCTCCTGCTGCATCCTGCTCCTGTTTGCTGATCTGAGGAGTTTGTTCTGCTCCAGGAGACAATGTTCTTCTGCCTGAGCTGCAGCTCCTGGACCTGCTCAGCCTCAGTCCAACACGGACACAACTGGACACTTGTTGAGTCGTGCAGGACCGAGCTGAGCCGAACAACAGGTCCAGAGTGAGATGTGGATTTCAGCCTCACCTATGATGATGGTGCAGGCGCTCAGGAGCCCGATCTCCTTCTTCAGGGTCACTCTGTCCGGGATCTCCTCCTCCTTCTGGCCTCCGTGCGTCACGGAGCTGCGCGGCCGTGCGCCCCCGCCGCTGCTGTGTCCATCCATGTCCGCCTGCCCGGGTCCGGTCGGTCCAGTCCAGAGTGTGCGAGTCCTCCCGGGTCCCAGGACGCTCCTGTCCTCTCCTCTGCGTATTCATGCACTGTGAATGGGCTGCGCATGCGCAACAAGCTGCGGCTGCTCAGCGCAGAATGTTAAACAGAGAGGAGCCGGTGATGCGTTCAGGGACACCAGGAGGAGGAGGAGGTGCAGCCTCCTCAGTGTTAATGCAGGAGCGTCTCTATCACTGACTTTGGACCAGACCAACTAGAAGACAGTTACCAACCAGTTCTATTTTATTGTTAAACTTTCCTCTGGACATGTTTTTCTGCTTTTTTAATCTTTTATTTTGCTTGAAAATGGTTTAAAACTCTGATTTCTGACTTTAGTTTTCTTTGTGCCTCATAAATAAAACTGCCTTTTTCTATGGATTCAACTAACATCTGTCAGATTCTATTTTATCGACACTTTAAAAGTATCGTAGAGAGACACAACAGAAAAAAATGATTTTAACCTCCAGAACCGAACTCGGTGCTTCGACCTGTTGAGGTGAGCAGAGAACAACTCATGGATCCTGATGAAAAACCTCGGGCAGGTTTAGAAAACTATGGAGTGAGATTCTAGTTCCTGTTGTTTAAAATGGGAAGATAAAGTCTGATCTCCACTCATGACTGAGGCAACGGTCATGTTTTCTCTCACAGAAATGTTTGTTCACAGGACAAAGATCCACGTCAATCGTGAAAAGAACATTATTAGTTTGCAGAATAACAATCTGTGGAAACTGTCCTCTGCTGATTTGTTAAGATTCTCGTGTGTCTGGTTCAAAAATCATCACAAAAAACAAAACGTAACAAAAGGAAGATTAAAAAAAAAAAAAAGACCAATTGATGCTAAACAACATATTTATTTGTTGTGGAAATGATCCTCATGACATTTCTTTGTCATGAGGGTTTGATAACGACCTCGTAGGAATCAGTCAATAGATATCGGTGGCTGAAATGTTTCCCTCCTGACATCAGCCAGGAGGAAAGTCTCTGTCGTGAACACAAATGGTCCCTGAACCTGGTTCGACGGCGACCCAGAGCCGGTCCTGTGCACCGGCCTCACGTTCCAGCAGCAGTGTCTTTGTGGAAGAAGCTGTGGATTTGCTGAGCAGCTGCCTGACCCACCACGGGCTCCAGCTCTGCAGGGCCGGCACTGCAGAGCCGCTGAATGCTGGAGAAGTGCTGCAGCAGAGCCAGAGCTTTGACCCGACCCACCCCAGGGACCTGCTGGACCACAGCCAGGACCGCTGGGTCCAACGGCCGGGACAAACTGGACCTCCTGAAGGGGTTGTCTCTGCCGCCTCCGTGGACCTGGAGACGATCAGAGCACAAATCAGGTAAAGGTTAGAAAAATAGGAGTTATTATTATTTCAGTATTTTCTGTTTCTTAAATAATAAATAATGTTGATTACGATCTGAGCGATGAACTGCGAGGCCTCCGTCTGCCCGCTGACCGGCAGCAGAGTCAGGCCGAGGTCCAACACCACAAACTTCTGCACAGCAGAGAAGTACTGCTCGCTCAGTCGGGTCTTCTCCACCAACACCAGCTCCTGGAAACGGCTGCTGGTCTGAAAACAGGGAGGAGGATGATACAACCAAAAGAAGCTTTCAGCAAAGCTCAGACCAACGTCTCCCTCATCGAACTCACATTTCTGTACCGAACCAGTTTCCTCTTGTAGCTGTTTCCGGCTACGACGTCGCACTCGGACACGTACAGGATGCAGCTTTTGTCGGGAAGATAGAAATCTGTGACGCCGAGCTCAGTCTCGAAGAGGATTTTCACGCCTCCACCTGCAGCGAGAGTCGTTTGTGAATGACTCACGTTGTTGACGTGTTTAAAACTTAACATCACAACAAACTGAGAAAACCAGAAACCAGAAACAAATTCTGATCAACTCATCGACAAACTGACGAATGTCTTTTCGTGCAGACCGAACAAACTGATCTTCAGTAAAGAGGTTTGAAACACGAGGCGACGCTATAAACAAATCATTTACTTCATGTGATCAGAGTTATACTTTAGTTCACAGCTCAACAAACACATCGAAGTGTCTCTTTTCTTTACCCCAGAAAAGATCCTTCATATTTAA